GCCCCAAGATGCTTTGCGGCCGCCCAAGAATTTTCACATTTTCGGAGGGGAGCACGCGGGGAAGACACAGGTGAGTTTAAACCCCTTTTTAAAGCTTTTTTTTTAAACACTTTTTGCATATATCTACTGCTTGCTAGCAGCAGATATATGCAAAAACATGGAGGGTTTAATAACCCTTTAAGTATTAAACTATTGAGAGAAATAGCGGGCTGTCATTGATTGACCTCCTCCTGTAAATGCTATTTGCCTGGTTGTTATGCTGAGCCTCCGATTCTCTATGCCCAGAGAAAGTGTGGAGGCAAGGAAAGTGAGAGCAAAGACGGAGGTCTTCCTGTTTCAGGTCGGGGACTCAAGGCATTGATGCAAGAAAGATAGCAGAACAGACAGGAAACTGGTATTTTCATGTTTTTGCAGGAATAGAAAAGAACTACAGTACAGGTTGTTTTTCTGTAATCCATTCCCTGTAGTTCTTTAAAGGAGAACTATGGGGTTAGGGCTTTTCCCCATAGTTTCCTTTGGGGAGCGGGAAGACACAAGCTAGCGTCCTCCTGTCACCCTAAGCTCAGTATACCGCGAGCTACAGCTCGCGGTACACTGACACTCCGCAGTATACCGCGAGCTACAGCTCGCGGTATACTGAGACGCCGCAGCTGAAGCGTATCCCGACAATTATGTCTGGATCCGCCCAGCTGCGTGAGTGACAGCTGGCTCTGCCTATCTAGAGGCAGTTTTAGCAGAGACATAAGACATGTTGCATACAACTCAATACACATAGGATGACATATATTCCTGTCCTATGGTAACGCTTACTCACTGTACTGTATCTATGGAGAATCAGCATTGTCACCAAAGGACAGTTCTACTTAAAGGAAAACTCCACTTTCCTTAAAAAAATCAGTATAGCATTTGGAATTGCTACATAAGCCATTCTGTAATTTTTATGTTGTTAAAACTTACCTTCCCATTTCAATCTGCAGCTGCAGTATTTTTCTAAAACTATTCAAACAATTTAATGCAATATGATAACCTGGAGGTGTTCTATACATCGTTGGTGTACGGAATTCCTCCAGAAATGCCATTTCTTTCATTTTGTTTGTGAGATTGGCTCACAGATTTTTCCAGATGTCTGCACTAAGATACAAGTAACATTTTAGGCATCCCCTGCAATAGGGATTTCATTTTTGGTGAGATACTCTCTAATGTATAACTACTTCTAAAGGGATGCAGACACTGCACCTTTCCTCACTGAAAGTGCACCAGGTGGTTATAATGAACCAGACCCCCCAGATCTAGGAATCAGTCTGGAAAGGATGTGGTGAAACAAAGAGCTTTTACTTCAGAGCAGAAAAAGCTAGGAATTTGCAACTAAGTGTGTTCAAATCCTTGCAAAGTACATTAATCACCCACAAAAGTGGAGTTAATCTTTAAAGGGAATCCATCAGGACTATATGAGTATTGCTGACTTGTTTTCATGGCTGTCATCCTTATGCTTGCTTTACTATTTAATGATTCAGTGACCTGGCACAAGCAGGTTCTCAGACACTACACTGTCTGCATGGACATTCCAGACCAGGTACTTATTGGATGAAGGGGAGCATGACAGCCATGGAGCCTGCAAAAAACAAGTCCGCTCCCATATTGCCATCTTCATAGGTTCTCTCTTCACTTCACCAGACCAGATAAGGAAGGATCTGCCTAGTGATGGCAAATAACTTTCCACAGGAACAGTAACAGAAACATTATTTTTTCCATCTTTGTTTAAAGGAAACAGCACTGAAAAAAACACATAGGCTCACATGGCCTGCTTCTGGAAATGCTAGTGGCCTGGCTGTCTCTGAATATTCTTTCTCAGTTACTGACTTGGAATACAGCCAATCAGGATCTGGATACTTGTTCCAGGTTGATGGCTTGGTCTGGCAAGCAGGCATCCAAAATTCTTTATAAAGAGTAGTCAGCAATTGCAGCCTTGGAGTTTTTTAACTTCTCTTTTCCCTCTAATTCAGAGGCCATTTAATTGATTTACAATTGTGTAATCGCACAGAAATCAATTAAATAGGAACCAATTGCTGCATTTTAAAAATGAATTCCTCAGTACACACACAGTGGCCTTTGGATATTTTCAGTGCATAGATAGTCATCCTAAAATTTTTGTATCCACATATAAAAAGGTCAAAAACAGTATCAGACATTCTACAAGTTCCAAGCTACTTAAATAAACATGGTATATTAACTTCTTCCTTCTAGCAAAAGTGATTCTAGAATGAAGAGTATATCGCTGTTACCTGTACTATATATACTTACTATAGTATGTATTGCTTATCTTGTGCTTTTATGCTTTTAGGCTACATTCACACTAGGTGCGATTTAGATGTGTTTTATATGCATTTAAAATGGTTTCTAAATGTGTGTGTGTGTGTGTATATAGATATATATCTATATATGTATATATACATACATATACATATGTACACATACATACATATATATACACAGGATTTCCATCTCTTCAACTGTCCCTTACCACTTTCAGCAGGGGTGCACCCGTTTGGCCACCTGATTGGATGGGAGGTCTGGAAAGCCACAGCCACGCTCACTCACAACTTGCTATATATAGTATATAATGATTTTCAATGGCTCTGTTCACACCTTGTGTTTAGATGCTTTTATCTGCAGACAGTTTGGCTAAGTTGCACTCAGGAATTGATTTGAACTTCTAAACGCACTGAAACACATGTAAACGCAAGGCGCATTTATTTGCTGAAATCTCATTGGCTGCTTTAAAGGACTGTCAAAGGTAAGATGCATGTAAACACGCATCATTTTTAGCATCTAGAAGCATAAACAAAGCATTTGGCTTGAGAGATTTTGCAGACATACCTCTGCATTAAAAAAAGAAAAACAATGGCAAGTGTGAATTAAGTCTTATGCCTGTAAAGGCTTTTCAGGTACCCGACTGTTACCATTAATTTGCATGGCACCCCAAACACTCCTCCCACCCACAATGTGCTGGACGGCATCACAACCCGCGGTACCGCAATACTGTAAGTTGCGGCGCAGTGCAGCTGAAAAAAATTGTGTGTGCACTATTTTCAAAATCAAAAACTTTGAGGTCTATTCACAAAGCTGCCGTAGGCAGCCGATTGAATAACCGACCCGAAGGCAGCCGTACACCGACTAAAATCAGCCGTACATCGACTTGCTGCGGCTGGCCTCGGGTCGGCCAAACATGCTCAGCATGTTCGGCAGGCCCGAAATGCAGAAAGAGTTCGACTCAGCCGATCCTCCGGTAGGCTACTCACTGCTGTTCGGTCTATTCTCATAGATGCCGGACTACAGTGAGTGAAGCGGCATTCGGCTCGGCTATTCTGGCCGGTACCTCTGTGGTACCGAGCAGAATAGAAAAACAGTTAAAGTAGAAAAAATAAAATAGGAAACGATTGGGCGGAGCTAGCAGTGACAGCTAGCTCCGCCCAACTGTTTTCTATTGGCTGCGCGGTTCTGCTGCCGTCAGAATAAAGAAAGAAAAAAAAAATAGCAATGCATAGCTAGATTCCTGTTGGCTATTTCACCAGGTAACCAGGGATGACATCTATCATTACACACTGAGAACCTGGAGAGGCCGTTGTGGTATCATAGCGGCCCCGCCGGGTTCTTAGTGTGTAATGACAGATGGTGTCCCTGGTTACCTGGTAACCAGGGACGCTGATCTCTCTGCAAGTGGCCGGAGCCAGCCGTGAGATGACGGCAGGCTCCGCCAAGCTGCCAGAAGCATGCTGTCGGCCGGCCAGCTTCGCTTTCACCTCGGCTCAGTTTCAGCTTTCACCTCGGCTCAGCTTTGGCAGCTTAGAGAATAGACCCCTTTATGTTTGCCTGAAGAAGGAGCCACTTGGTTCCGAAACGTCGCTATAAATGTGACACTATCCTAGTCAATAAAAGGTATTGACTTTCCATCAAGTTGGAGTGCGAGTGACCATTTATCCATTTTGTACTATTGGCGGAGGCATCTGCGGTCGCATCGGCACCCACCTGAGTTTTGGGTTTGTTTCCGGTCAGGAGTGCCGTGGGATATACCTTGGACTCACTATTATATTCAATCACACCACATGACATTGCAGTACCATGCATTGCGGCACAGTTGAACGCATTATGCGCAGTAGATGTATTTGGTATGCCGTTCAAATGAATGGCAACGCAACACGCCTCCCGCACGGTTAACCCACGGTAGGTGAATTGTGTGGTAGCGTGCAGTAATCACACGGAACCGTGTGATTAACACACGCATGTGGTGTGAACCAGCCCCAAAGTCATGTAACCAAGTGTGTCTGCCCTATCAAATTCCTACCAGTCAAAGGTATACCTCAAGAGGCTGTACAACCATAAGAGAACAGGTTGAGTTAATAATTTCACTGCCCCCGGTTTGCAAGGCCACATGTGTCAGAAAAGCCAGGCTTCCAGATGAGAATCCGAATCAGTTGAACTCTGTTAAAGCATACTTAAAGCAAAATCTAATTTACTGCAGCTCAACAGTCTTGAGATGTAGTGACTGCATGTGTTTTCTTTTGTCAGTTTTTTTTATCACTTCATATTCATCTGATGATCCTGCCAGTAACACACTTCCTGTCCTATGGTGACAACGCTTACTCACTGTACTGTATCTATGAAGAATCAGCATTGTCACCAAGGACAGTTCTACAAAAAAAACCCTTCTCCATACCATAGAGAAGTGAGTTTCTGTAGTCTTTAGAGATAACTGGGAACAATGTAACTGATAAAAATACAGCGCAGGGAGTAATCGGCAAACAATTTTTCTGGCAGAATCAACAGGTATTTTTCTACTTATCAAACAGATATAGCAAATCGTTTTTAATGGTGTATACTGTATATAACACACAAAAAAGCACCAAATAAGAGAAGTTCATTATTAGATTTTACATACCCTTTATATTAATACATTTTGTATTTTTTAGGTGATTTCAGTAACCAAAGAGAATGTAACTTACCAGTCTCTCTGACATGTCTGTCTTGTCATGTTCTGGCAAATGCTGCTCCAGCGCCAACACAATACAGTTGGCAATAATGGTGGCTAAGATCATATATTCAAATGGAGTAAGCATTGTTAAGGAAATCAATGTCTGTAAATTGGATACATTGTCAAACATTAATTTCTACAATTCTATAAACAAATGTCATACTATAGAGCAAAAGATACTTTAAAACATACATTGTAAATGCTGCGTGTTTGAATGGTATAGAACCTTCACTCCTAATAGTCTGATTTGTTTGTACATGGGAAATAATGTTCATCTCTAGGTGAGAATATATCAAATATTGGGCTTAGCTTTGCCGTTTTAAGTGGTTTAAAAAAAAACAGACAAAGCTGTATTTGTTTTTGTTATCCTTATCTTAGATTTTTAAGATATTAAAGCTCTTGACAGAGAAAATATTTGTCAATTACGATTTTGAAAAATTATTTTAAAATGCAAAAGTTTCATAATATAAAAGCAAAACAAGGTTTATAAACATGACAACAATGTACTGCAGTTATACACAGCAAAGGAAAACTGTTTTGATTAAACACTTGTCCCCCCCTTACATAGGAGAGCATTTTTTGTGATCTGCTTGGACTTTACCCTCTTCAGGTCGGCAATATAGAAGTTACTTAGCAACAAACAACTGTGTCACCGGTCACCGAAGGCGATCTCTGTATATTATTAATAAAATACATCCTTAATTATCTACACAGGGAAGAACTTACTCATTCTTACTATTTAAAAAGGGAAAGCAGAATCTAATATACATAAGATTTGAATTGGTGAGCATTAATGTATTTTTTTGTCTATCTTTAAACACATTATTAAAAGCAATCTATAGGGTGTGATTGTGAGCTGAGCATGTTTGAATGAGACACAAGTCACATTTTGGGGCTTTGGGGTCAATGTGATGCAATATCTATTTATTACCTATTTTATCTACTTTATATTACCTATGAAAAAACCTGCCAGCTGGGGGGTTCTGCTTAACTGTAAAATGTAATGTGCAAAACACAAGGTAAAACGTAATGTGCAAAACACAGGAGCCCACAGCAATCAATCTGGGATGATCTTTCACAGTTTATTGAAAGGCAACATTTGGTTGCTAAAGGTTGCTGCACTTTGCACATCTTCTGTGCCCTTCCTTTGTTAAATGACTAGAGATGATGGGAAGCCTTTAGTAGCCTTTGGTAGCCTCTGAGTATATGTTGTACATACAGGGACTATTTGTGGGTATATTGCAGTTTAAGTTAGTGGAATTTAGAATTTGGAATATCAGTGAAATGTTTTATCTTGCTGTCACCTAAGTATGCCAGTTTTAAATGAGGCTTGATCCCCTTCATAAGATATCATCCAACATGGAACAGGTGCAGCAGTTTGCACTAGCAGCTAATAATGGCCATGGATACCTCACACGATGATCCACCATGGCTGTATGAGGTTTAGACTGCACAGTATACAGAGTGAGCAGTTAGGAAGATGACAAGAGGCAGTGATACACTGTCAGATATTCCCCTGCTTGTACAGAAAGAACAGTGCAGCTCCACATACACAGTGCATGCACACCCAACACCCCACCCCCAGCATACACTGCACACCGGCAGGCACACACACACACACACACACACACACACACACACTGACACATACACAATAAGCCATGCACATGTAATCATACATACTACACACTGAATCCTACATGTCACACACACACACTTCACAATAAACTATTATATACATTAAATACCACCTATTACATATACACTAGACCCTCAAGTGTACGTACTACACACACTGCACAAGTCACAAATATAACAGACTAACATATTACATATACATTATACAGTCATTTTGTAACACATATACACACAAACAATAAACACGTATGTATTACACAGTAATTTGCAACTATTTCTACACGTCACGCACAAACAATAATGCACACAAAAATACACTGTGCCATAAATAGTACTATATTGAATCATATGCTATACATGGGCTATTATACATTATACACACATACATAAAACACTGCATCACATAGACTACACCTTAAAACTGACATGCACATAACTAGACATTCATTAAACATTATAAGATTCACTTAACACACACACACACACACACACACACAAGATCAGTTTCAGCCAATGTCTGGTCTATGGGTAAGGTATATGATGGTGTTATCAAAGCCCCCCAGTAACTGAAGACTACAACCCCCCCTCCTCTGAGTTTTCTGGCCACCAGTGGGCTTGGTACACACCGAATGACCCCAGCATATGCCTAACATTGCTTCTTCCATGGCTGGTGCATCACAAACCAGGAATGGTGACACACAGGGGTTGCTAGGATCCTTCCAGCAGGCCCTGACGCCTCGCACACACCAATCCATAGGTGTGGGCTTTCATAACAAACACAGCTCAGAGGGGGCAATTCTCAACTATATACACCCAAACACTGGAGCCCAGGAAGTACCAGACCATTGGCATGCTCTTTTCACCCTCCCACCAACCAACATGCCAGCTGAACCACCCACCCCACCCCTACCCCAATATATGTCTGGGAATCCTCTGTGTGACACATTACACCAGGCTGGCACTGCCAGGGATTGGGTGGGGGTGGGCACTTTGAATCCCAATGGCACCTCCATACTGGCAATTGTGCCTTTTAACCCTTTCGCTTCCAGGCCATGGAAGCATGAAGCATATATGGTACAGCAGGCCTCTAATGGTAACCAGAGAGTTAAATGAGATAGCTACAGAGATGATAGATATAGAAGATACATATATGATTTAGATATATAGATATATTAATAAAATAAATGACCGATGAACAGAATTATGGATAAAAAGAAAGATAGGCAGGTAGATAGATAGGCATAAAGATATTATAATATGCATTAAGACACACATGCACATCCCCCCAGGAAGCCCCCCGCACCCCCAGCTATGCCCCTCTCGAAGGATATGGCCACTCTGTGATCCTCTTGGCATACTTGCGGATGACATTGTCCTCACTGAAGATGAACAGCGATCTGTTGAGGGTGAAGCAGTTCTGTTTGACAGGGATGGGGTTGTACAGTGCCATGGTCCTCGCCCGCTGTGCCATGGACTGCTTGTACATCCTTTGCCCGGGCGGGGGGCCACCTTGCCGGCTGCTCCCTCGCCCAGCTCCCGCTGGCACCCCAGTTCCATAGCGGGTGGGCAGGTCGTCTCCAAACCGTGCCATTCTACAAATCGACAGAGGCAAGCGTTAGAATCCAAAGTGGCAGCCAAGGTTGGGGGGTGTAGACACATCCCCATGCAAAGCCCCTCACACTTTGCTGGCTTTCATGAGAGGCAATCACTGCTGAGCGAAACAAGCTCCCCGCTGAATGCAGCCCAGCTGGAATCTTCAAGAAATGCTCTCCTCCTCCACCTCTTTCTCAATCACTGCACAAAAATATCAGTAATCCTGGGAGCAACCAAGAAAAAAAAATTGCAATGCCAGCTGCAGGCAGACAATGTAAGTTGTAGCTGGGTACCCAGAGTGCCCTGTGCCAGTCCCCTGCCTGATGCCTCCTTGTCCAGTGGGATTGCCCTCCCTTGCTTGCAGGCAGCGCAGGGAGAAGTAGAACCGGTCCCTGCACTGACACTTAGTTACCAGAATAAGACAGTGAAGCAGTTTGAGAACCTCAGCCCCCTATAAGAGGCAAGGCATGTGACGTCTAATAGCCAATCAGCTGGGGACTCCACCTAGCCCAACAACCACTGGAATAAGCAAAAATATTCTTCTGTAGGCACTCCGCAGCCTCCCCCTCCCCCATACACACACCTTCCTTAAGGAAAAGGAGAAAAATCGAATTCAAAAGGGGATTCATGTACTTCTGTAAACCCCCACTCCTCCCCAAATCAGTGAAAGACTGGAGCTAGGGATATGGCATCCTCTCCTGCAAGGAAAGCAAGGCAGCGTGGCAAGGGTTAAATGCATCCTCC